TAAAAGGTTAAAGCTGAAATCCACTATAATATATGAGCTTCCTGCCTTTGGGATAAAATTGTTAAAATGTAGTTAAACCTGAAGTATATTTTGAGGTATAATTTCTTTTGAAACTTACGTTTCACAATTTCTGGTTTGACATGTACTTACTGCAATGAAATACACTCTGAATTCTAAGATTTGGCAGTGGCCTTGCGTGTAGTAGAGGTCCTACACATTTTAATGTAGGCTTGACATTAAATCTAGATGTCTCATGCTACATTGCTAAAACTGAATTGATTTTTTTTAATAAATAATAAAATTTATAATTTTTATGGTTATAAAATTGCAGCATTCACGGTAGATATTTTATGGAAATGCAGAAACTTTAAGGCAGTGACAATTAGAAATTACGTAGCCCTGGTAATGCCTCTGATCCCTCGTGTTGGATGCAACATCTTCACCCTCCTCAATAGTAGATCTACTGCTCAGATCCCCCAGGTTATTCCTTCAACGCCCCTTTTCAAGTTGTCTTCCCTGTCCCTCTTTAGTTGACAGGGTGGTATCTGGAGGGTTTGCACACAGTCTGTCACTCTTACTGCCCTGTGATGTCAAATCATACAATGTGGAACTTAAACTCACTCTGGTCCCAACTTTCTTAGAATCCTCAGTGTTCAAATCAAGCTTGGTTCCTCAAGTGGAGACAGTCACCTTGGTCACTTTGTGTCCTGTATCATGTCCCAGTCATTCTGTGGAAACAGCTTCCAGTAATTTTGTGTTGCAGAGAGAGCAACATGATGACCTCACACAGCACTGTCAGCCTCAAGCTATACCCTGTCCCGTGGCATACATTGGTTCATGCTCAGGGTGGAGATACTTCATTACTCATTCTAAACAATAAAATACTAAGCAAAGCATTTTAATAAACAAAAGCACCATCCATGGAATATGCTATCTATTTAGAACCAGTGCTCTGGAGCCACCATTTCAGTATACAGATGAGTGCCTTGACACCTGGGAGCATCTAAGTTCATTCTTAGATGGATGGTTGGGTGGGTAGATGGGTAGATACATTTAAATTGCAGGTTACTTAATTGCAGCTGGTGTGCCACCAAAAAGATAAGCCTTAGTTTCCACACCTAAAGAAATGGTGATGACAATCTTAAGGAACTTGATAAGAGTCAAATGAGGCATCTGAATTTCTTAGCACAGTTCTGGCAGACAGTAAAGGCTCACTAATGTTCAAGATGTGTCATGGTTGTGTGTGTGTGTGTGTTACTTTTAAATGGTAGAGCATTCTATGATACATTCTGGCCTTTTAGGGAGGGCAGTCAAGAAGATTGCAAAATTAAAGATAGAGCTATCAAAACTGTTGTTTTTATTACAGTCATAATCCTGGGTGAAAATCATGACCATTTGCACATGATTTAATGGTGTAGTAATGGCCCAAGACATGTAATTTTATTTTTATCTTCAGTATTACCAGTTCACCCATTTCTAAATGGGGCTAAATCCTGTTATGTAAGGAAAATGGGGAGGGGGGTGGGCAGAACAGATTTAAGGGTACAAAGAAAAAAGCCCTTTTGATAGTTTTAAGGATTTTTTAAAAAAATGTTTAATGTTTGTTTTAATCATTACAAAGTTAAAACATACCAAATACTAAAATGAATTTTGAACATTTTATAATTGGCAAGAACAGTTTATCTTCCCGAGTCTCTTGGGGACCTGCAGATGGAATCTTGGGCAGGCGGACCTCAGGGCGTGGTAGTCCAGACTTGACTTGGAAAGAGAGCTGTAGTAGGGTCAAGTTTGTCATCTCAGAGAGTAAGCTGCTGTGGCAAGCTAATGCTTTGAAGAAACAGACAATACCTGTCTTAGAGGTTTTTTTGTTGTTTTGTTTTTAGATGTTGAATGACTTTGAAGATAGGACATTCTAGTGTTTTCCATCAGTGTAATTCACTGTTTCTTTCTCATAAAAGGTTAGCAAAGATGTGCTGCCCTTGAATTATCTGTGACATGCCTCATTTAACAAATACTGATGTTTGACCATAACTGTATTTTAAGATACACGTCTCTACTTTAAAAATAGAGGCACATTAAAATTACAGGTCACTTAATCCATTACTTTCCAATATTATAATGTTAGCTTAATAGCCAAATTTAAAAAATAGTTTTACATTTGGTTCACCTGTGGCTTCACACAGGCTCACACATCCCTTTAGAGTCTGCAGCTCAGTTCAGTGGTTCTTGATGCTTTGGCAGAATTGTGCAAACTATGGCCACAATGGATGTTAGACTTTTCCTGTCCCACTAAGAGATCTTGGTATACATCATTTCCCACAAGCCGTCCCCCCACCCCCGCACCTTCATCCCTAGGTTGCCATCAGCTTTATTATATGTACACACTCTTTCTCATGTGTGTGTATGTGTACATGTGTAAGCAGAGGCCAAGGAAGCAGGTATCCCAGTCTCAGCTAGGTTGGCTGACTGGTGAGCTGGGAACAGCTCATCTCTACTGTTCAATGCTAGGATTACAGGACATTCATGGCCATGACTTCATTTTTATGTGGGTGCTAGAGATTCCATTTCTGATCCCCAGGCTTTCACTGCAAGTGATCTTATCTCCCTAGCCCTTACTTTGTCTCTTTTGATTCACTTATCCTTAACAGTGTAAGTTTGGTCTTTGGAGCCAAGTGTTCTCCCTCCCTCCCTCTCTTCTTTCCTCCCTCCTTTTTCTTTTTTTAAATGGGAGAGGCAATGGTGTGCATCTAACCCAAGACTTTGGATGTAGCCTTTACCAATGAGCTGTACCCCAGTTCTGTCCTGTAATATTCCACTGTGTAGCTTTAGTGCAGTTTATTACCTGTCACCCACCCACCCATGACCATTAGGTCATTTCTCCTTTGGGGCTATTATACTATGAACATCTGTGTGTTGGTTCTTATGTGGACATACATGTTTATTTCTCTTGGGCACATACCTTGGAGTAGGATTGCTACAGTGTACAGTCTCCCAGTTGAGCCTTTTGGAGAACCGAGGGGCTTGTTTTATCAAGCGACTGCATTATCTTGCATTTCTGACAGCAGCACTTGAGTCTGTTTCTTCACACCCTTGCCAACAAGCACTTTATTATGGAGCCTCCACCATTCGTGTGAGGTGATAGTTCTTTGGATTTTCATTTCTCTCCTGGCTAATGATATTGAGCATCTTTTCATTTGCCACTTATAAATCTTATCTGGAAAATTGTTTACTCAGATACTTTTGCCAGTTTGATTGGCTTGTCCTTATTGTTACTGAGTTGAGGGAAGTCAGTATATATTCTGTGTTTCCAGCATCTGTACTGGCCTGTCCTTGGGATTCTGATAGGATATGCCCTCAGCTGCAGCCACTAAGAGCATCACCTGTGCATATTCACTATGTTCCCTTTTAAAAAGGGCCCTGCCCACCTTCCATCTTTTCTCTCTTTCTTTTTCAACCTCTTTGTCTGTTCCCTTCTTTCTCTCTCCCCCTCTTTCCTTTCTCCTCTCTCCTGTTGCTCCTGTCTCCAGAGGCCACTCTCTCCCCTGCCTTTCTCCTTTTTTTATGATCCCTTTCCCTAATAAAAAAAAAAAAAAAAAAAAAAAAAAAACCCTCTGCTTGAACCTTGTCTCATGGCACCTTTCTCTCATGTGCTGCTTTTCTTAAATTTCAACATTCTGGGTACAGGTTCCTTACCAGACAATATAAGACACAGTGTCTGGACTGGAGAGATGGCTCAGCCATTCAAGGCTGAGGCTCCCAACCAGAGGACATGACACAGTGTAGTTTGCTTCTGGGGAGAGTCACTATTTGGGCAATCTCAATGATTAAATTGCTACTTCAGAAACCGGCTGTAGAAGATATTTATCAATATTAATTTTCTAAATTGAAAGTTTTATAAACACTTGAAATCCTGGGTTTCTGTTTTTTTTTAATTATTTATATCATGCTGATGAGTATCTATCTGTGAGTAAAACCTTGTTTGAAATTTGACTGTAGACACAGTTTGTATTACAGAAGAATTAAATATTCAAAACTCCATGACATCACTCAGTGCATTACAAATAATTAAAAATCTTCCTCTGTGTGTGTGTGTGTGTGTGTGTGTGTGTGTGTGTGTGTGTGTGTGTGTGTGTGTTTGTGTGATGCATTTATATCAGGTCAGAGGACAGGTTTGGGAGTTGGTTCTCTCATTCTACCATC